GGGTTCATGCCATTCTCCTGCCTCAGCCTCCTGAGTAGCTGGGACTACAGGCGCCTGCCACCACGCCCGGCTAATTTTTTGTGTTTTTAGTAGAGACGGGGTTTCACCGTGTTAACCAGGATGGTCTCAATCTCCTGACCTCATGATCCACCTGCCTCGGCCTCCCAAAGTGCTGGGATTGCAGGCTTGAGCCACTGCACCTGGCTGTGCCTGGCTTCTTTCACTTAGCACGGGGTTTTCAGGTTCATCCATGCTGTAACATGTACCAGAATTTGATTCCTTTTTATATCTGAATAATACTCCCTTGTACGTATATACCACATTTTGTTTATATATTGGTTGAAGGAACTTTGAGTTGTTTCCATGTTGGCACTCTTATGAATAATGCTGTGTACAAGTTTGTTTTTTTTTTTTTGAGATGGAGTCTCGCTCTGTCACCAGGCTAGAGTGCAGTGGCGCGATCTCGGCTCACTGCAACCTCTGCCTCCGAAGTTCAAGCGATTCTCCTGCCTCAGCCTCCTGAGTAGCTAGGGCTACAGGCACTGCCACTACGCCCAGCTAATTTTTGTATTTTTAATGGAGATGAGGTTTCACCAAGTTGGCCAGATGGTCTTGATCTCTTGAACTAGTGATCCACCCACCTTGGCCTCCCAAAGTATTGGGATTACAGGCGTGAGCCACTGCGCCCAGCCATGTGTACAAATTTTTATGTGAACCTAAGTTTTTATTTCTCTTGAGTTTATGCCTAGAAGTGGAATTGCTGAGTCATATGTTATGGTGACTGGACATTTAATCTTTTGAGGAACTGCCAGACTGTTTCCCAAAGTGACTGCACCATTTCACATTCCCACCAGCAAAGTCTGAGGGTTCCAATGTCTCTGCGTCCTCACTAACGCTGGTTATTATCTGTCTTGTTAATAACAGCCACCCTGATGGGCAGGAAGTGGTATCTGATTATGGTTTTGATTTGCATTTCCCTGATGATTAATGACGTTGAGCATCTTTTCCTGTGCTTGAGCCTTGCAATACCCCTGGATCAGTCATTGTGAAGGTCACCACTGCCCTCCATGTGGTCAATTCTCAGTCCTCACCTTACTTTTTCAAACACTTGACACTGTTAATTCCTCCTTCATTCTTGAAACTTTCATCTCTTGGCTTCCCAGATGCAGGGCTGTTTTTTCGTCTTACCTCACTGGCTTTTTCTTTCTTGGCTTCTCTTTTAGACAGCAGAGTGCCCCAGGCTCTGTCCTGAGCCGCCTACTCTTGTCTGTGGCAGACCCTCCCTAGATCATTTCTTCTGGTCCTATAGTTTTAAGAATGAACTGTACTCTGATGACTCTCAAATATATCCCTCTAACTCTGACCTCACCCATGAGCTTCAGACAGGTGTGTCCAACTGCCTGTTTCCATCTGCATGTGAATGTCTAAAAAACTTCCTTTTTTTTTTTTTTGAGTTGGGGTATCACTCTGTCACCCATCTTGGAGTGCCATGGCATAATCGCGGCTCACTGCAACCTTGAACTCCTGGGCTGAAGTGATCCTTACACTTCAGCCTCCTGAGTAGCTAGGACTACAGGCACGTGCTACCATGCCCAGCTAATGTTTTTACTTGTTTATTTGTTTGCTTGAGACGCAGTCTCACTCTGTTGCCAGGCTGTAGTGCAGTGGTGCGATCTCAGCTCACACAATCTCTGACTCTCTGGTTCAAGCAATTCTCCTGCCTCCACCTCCGGAGTAGCTGGGATTACAGGCACCCGCCACCACGCCTAGCTAATTTTTTGTATTTTTAGTGGAGACGGGGTTTTGCCATGCTGACCGGGAAGGTCTCAATCTCCAGACCGCGTGATCCGCCCACCTTGGCCTCCCAAAGTGCTGAGATTACAGGCGTGAGCCACCATGCCCAGTGTTTTCACTTTTTTG